GACCTGTCCTAAGTACCCTACCCAAGGACATCCCTAGAAGAAGTCACCTTTCAATCGACTTGGAGGTATCCCACTCGACAGATTCAAGACACTCGACCATGAAGCAATCACTCGACCAGATTCCAACCACTCGACTGCCAGGAGATCTAAAGTCACCCTGCACGCAAACAGTCGGTCATTAAGTAGCTTTTATGGTCATCATAGCACTTTATTAGGGGCGTTACCAGTAACCCCCAGTCTTAATGTACTTTAAACCTTGCATTACTGAGGGCTGGAGGGGCCTGGCGAACTCTATATAAGCCACTCCCTCCTCAGTATCAAGGGTTGGCACCCCTGTTATTCATACACACATAATTCAGTCGACCGCCTCCGGGCACCGAGACGTAGGGCTGTTACTTCCTCCGAGAAGGGCCTGAACTCGTAATCCTCATGTGCTTACAACTCCTCCATAGCTAAGATCTAGCCTCTCCATACATACCCCCCTACACCACTGTCAGAGTTAGAACCATGACACGCGCGGCTCCAGCAATGCGCGCTATCGCATGAATATTGCGTACATATTTTTAAGGGGGATTTTTTGCCGTTGTTCCATGATTTATCTCTGGACAACTTCAGCTTTCTCAACTTAATTTTGGAATGATAACCCTGCTTCCTAAGAAAACAGAGGCCGCGGGAATCGAGCAATTCAGGCCCATCTGTCTTCTTAATGTTAGTTTCAAAAAATTTACCAAGGTCGGGACTAATAGGCTCACGCAGATTGCGCATTCTGTGATGCAGCATTCCCAAACTGCTTTCATGCCAGACAGGAACATCCTAGAAGGGGTTGTGGTCCTTCATGAAACGCTCCACGAGATTCACACGAAAAAAACTAGATGGAGTTGTTTTCAAGGTGGATTTCAAGAAAGCGTACGATAAAGTCAAATGGCATTTCCTTCAACAGGCATTACGCATGAAGGGTTTTGATGAAGCCTGGCGACGCGAGGTAGAATCTTTCACGCAAAAAGGGAGTGTTGGAATTAAAGTGAATAATGACATATGTCATTATTTCCAGGCACACAAGGGCCTGAGACAAGGTGATCCAATGTCTCCTATTTTGTTCAACATTGTGGTTGATATGTTGGTAATTTTGATAGGTAGGGCAAAGGAGGCCGGTCAGGTGGTGGCTTGGTGCCTCATCTAGTTGATGGAGGTGTATCCATCCTGCAGTACGCTGATGATACGATCATCTTTATGGAGCACGACTTGGCAAAAGCGAGAAATATGAAGCTGGTGTTATGCTTATTTGAACAATTGACCGGATTGAAGATTAACTTTCATAAAAGCGAGCTATTCTGTTTTGGTAGAGCTAACGAGGAACAAGAGGCTTATAGGCAATTGTTTGTATGCGAATTGGGGACATTACCTTTCATGTACTTAGGTATACCCATTCACCATCGTAAGCTGATAAACAAAGAATGAAAGTGTATCGAGGATCGGTTTGAGAAGAACTTGAGTTGCTGTAAGGGCAAACTCATGTCATACGAGGCCGATTGATTCTTATTAATTCGGTGCCCACAAGTATGCCTATGTTTCTCTTGTCCTTCTTCGAAGTCCCAGTTGGTGTTAGGAAAAGGCTGGACTTTTATCGATCCTGATTCTTCTGGCAGAGTGATGAACTAAAGAGAAAGTACAGACTCGCCAAATGGGATATCATCTGTCGACCAAAGGACCAGGGGGCCTTGGCATTGAGAATCTTGAAGTTAATAACAGATGTCTTCTCAGTAAGTGGTTGTATAAGCTATCAGCTGAGACTGAAGCTAGGTGGGTGCAGATTCTCCGTAGTAAGTATCTGCAGTCCAAAACTTTGTCCCAGGTGACAGTGAGGCCCATGGACTCGCCTTTTCGCCGAGGCTTATGAGAGTCAAAGCAGCCTTCTTTAATAGGACAAAGTATATAGTCGGTAATGGCACTACCACGCGCTTCTGGGAGGATACTTGGCTTGGTGAAACGCCGTTGGCGCTTCAGTATTTATCCTTGTATAGTACTGTTCAACGACGTGATGCTTTTGTGGCAACGATTATGCAGTCCATCCCCCTTAACATTCAATTTAGGAGGACGCTAGTTGGCAACCGATGGGAAGCATGGCTTCATCTGGTGAGTAGACTGATGGAGGTTCAGCTGTCTCATCAGCCCGATCAGTTGTGTTGGAAGCTCACTAGGTCTGGAGAGTTCACTGTTAAATCTATGTATATCGATGTCATCAACTCTAGCACCATTCCTAGTTCCCAATATGTTTGGAAAGTAAAAGTCTCTTTGAAAATTAAAGTGTTTATGTGATTTGTACATAAACAAGTCATATTAACAAAGGATAACTTGGTAAAGCGCAACTGGACATGATCTACTAGGTATAGTTTTTGTGATCGGAATGAAATCATCAAACACCTTTTCTTTTGATTGCCCGTTGGCCAAAGTTTTGTGGTAGACGGTGCACATTGCCTTTAACGTACTCCTCCGAATTCTGTCAATACGTTATTTGGAATGTGGCTTGTTGGGATAGAGTCCGAAACAGCTAGACACATTCGCGTAGGAGTGTGTGCTTTGTTGTAGGCAATTTGGAACTGCAGAAATGATTTGGCTTTTAACAGAACAACAAATATTCATTTTTTGCAGGTTATATTCCGAGCCACTGCGCTGATCCATATGTGATCGTTACTCACTCCGACGAAGGCCAGGGAGCGTTTGGTTACTGGATCTATCTGGTGGGAGACGGTAGCACGGGATATCTTCAACTGGTTTGGATGGCGGTCATGTAATAGGATAGGCGATTAGTTTGCCTATCGTTGTTATGCTAGCCGGTTGTGGCCTTTTGGCTTTTGGTTTTTGGCGTTGTGGCTCTTTGTGAGCTGGCCGTTACTTTGTTTCAGACTATAAGACTCTGTTGAACCTATTTGTTTATCTATAAAGATGGCCGTATGCATCGTTCTGATGTAGAGGCTGGGGAATCCCCCCTTTTCGAAAAAAAGATAGTGCAATTACAACCTACTCCCAGTCGTCCTCCTCCTCATCATCATCGTCCTCGCTGGTCTGGTTCTTTGTTGGTTCTGTAGATCTCGCTCCACTTTCCTCACGTGGACTTTAGCGCATGTCAAACCTCCCTCTTTTGTCGACACCTGGCCTGGTTGTGCCACGGTGATTATATAACCACTAGAAACAGCTGCGGTTAAGTATGGCTACAACTACTGCGCGCTACTCCGTTACCTTTTTCCAGTGGGTGGTTAAGAAACTGAGGAGGTTGTGAATCAATATGTGGTTGAGTTGGTTAGGTGGACAGTGGTATCCTCAACCCATCAAGATTCAAATCCTGGTGCTCGCATTATTTCTGGATTTATTTCAGGATTTCCGGCGATATGCTTTCAGTGGGAGGAGACGTTTCCGTCGACGACGAGGTGCCTGCGGTGACTTCGTAAATCTCAAGATGATATGCCGGCTCAGTCTCTCGAAGGTGCTCATAGGGGTAGGGTCTGCGTGTGTGCGTTCATAAGGGTGAGTGTATGCGCGTGTATATGAGCGCTTGTGTCTGTATTGATGCTAAAAAAAAGAAACTGAGGAGGTTTCCCCGGAGAAAAAAAAAGAAACTGAACCGGTTATTACAGCAGGAGCAGACCTTTGACCGTAGCGTTGAGCCGGGAGCATCTACTGAGTGGGGAGTTGTTGCTGTAATGGTGACCACTCGCAAAAAGGCACCGGGGCCGGCCGTGAATCGCCTCTGGCCCGGGAGACACAAGCAACACAGGCCATACGACGCGACGAGCAACGGTGGGCATTACCGGAAGACAGGAAGAACGCATCGGAAAAGGGGAATCGATAAAGGGGGCATGTGCTGTGCTCGTTCCTTCATTGAATTTTACATACAGGACAAAGTCTTATTTCTCCACGTCTTGAAACTGAATTTAGTTTTGATTCTTTGAATGGCATGGCACCACTAGTGCGTGCGTACGTACCTTTTGTGCTGCCAAACCTACGAAGATGTGGCTGGATTGGTCGATGATCGGACAAAAATAACGTGTGTGCACGTCAGCGAAAGAGTAGTATACGTACCGTCAAGGAATCCCACAAAAAACAAACGATAGAGTAGTATACGTACCGTGTGGCAGTATATTTATAAAAAGAAAAAAAGAAAAGAACTTGGAGAGGTGAATAGTAAAATAATAATAATAATAATAATAACCTGATTTTTTTATATGAGAAATGTTTGAGTGTGTGATGACTGTGCCAATTTTTAGCGTGTTTGCACATTTGAATAGCTCTCAGAAAAGAATTAAGACCTGTGAAATTTTTTACTAGTTCGTGCACTGATTAGGTTGAGTTTTTTTTTCTGAGAGCTGCTCAGATGTCCGAGCACGTTGGAAATCGCTACGGACCTCACGCACCCAAACATCTTCCATTCAAAAATAATTTAGATTTTGTTTTAGTGTTTCCATTATTTTGTTAGTGTTCGTCGAGATATGAGTTTGGGTCCGGAAATGGATATTCGAGGACCTCGCTGCTTTTCACTTCGAAATAATCAGAAGGGATCCCTCAGAAAAGAAAAGAAAAGAAAGTACAGAACAGAATCGCCGATCCGGGCGGCGGGCAGCACCGAACCATCCATCCCGCCTCTCTCCCTTGGCTGAGGCTTTGACTCCCTGGCCCAGCTGACCGGTCAACGTGGCGTGTCGCGGCAGCCCGCGTGGCGTCGCCGTCACCAGCGACGTCACCGCCGCGAGCGAGTGCGCCGTCCCGTCCCACATAAAAACGAAACCACCCACTCACCCACCACCCAATTCCCCTCCCCTCTCCAGGTCTCCTCCCGAAACCCCCAATTAGAAAATCGATTGGGGATTTCGGCGTCCCAAGCTCCCCCCAGATCCGCGCCTCCGGCCGGTTCGCTCGGCCGCCCCGTCGATCTGCGGCCGCCGTCGGAGCTGACCGGTCCACGGCTCGATTCGCCCGGGGGATTTGTTTCGGGGCTTTTGGTCCTGATGGCGTCGTCCCCGGTCTCCTACTGGTGCTACCACTGCAGCCGCTTCGTGCGGGTCTCCCCGGCCACCGTCGTCTGCCCCGACTGCGACGGCGGCTTCCTCGAGCAGTTCCCGCACCCGCCGCCGCCGCGCGGCGGCGGCGGCAGCGGCCGGCGCGGGGCCATGAACCCCGTGATCGTGCTGCGGGGCGGCTCGCTCTCCGGCTTCGAGCTCTACTACGAGGACGGCTCCGGCGACGGGCTGCGGCCGCTGCCCGGCGACGTCTCGCACCTCCTCATGGGGTCCGGCTTCCACCGCCTGCTCGACCAGTTCTCGCGGCTGGAGGCGGCCGCGCCGCGCCCGCCGGCCTCCAAGGCCGCGGTCGAGTCGATGCCTTCCGTGACCGTCGCCGGGGGAGGCGGGGCCCACTGCGCGGTGTGCCAGGAGGCCTTCGAGCCCGGCGCCGCGGCCCGGGAGATGCCGTGCAAGCACGTCTACCACCAGGACTGCATCCTCCCCTGGCTCTCCCTCCGCAACTCCTGCCCCATCTGCCGCAGCGAGCTTCCGGCGGCGGCCGTGCCTGAGGCGGAGGCGGACGCCGGGCTCACCATCTGGCGACTCCCCCGCGGCGGATTTGCCGTCGGAAGGTTCGCCGGCGGGCCCAGAGAGCAACTGCCGGTTGTCTACACGGAGCTGGATGGTGGTTTCAGCAACGGCGTCGGGCCGAGGCGGGTGACATGGCCAGAAGGAGAAGGGCAGGTGGACGGCGGCGAAGGTCGGATTCGCCGTGTATTTAGGAACCTGTTTGGGTGCTTTGGCCGGGGCGGCCGGCCCGAGAGTTCCTCGCAGTCCCGTAGTGGCTGAGCAATGTTCTTCCTGGTAACTCACTTTCAATTGATGATAGTGGTGAATAAGTAGGAGTTTAGTATAAGGAGGAAACCCCAGGTGGTGAGTTATTGGTTAGTTTGATGTAAATGAAGGGCTTGCATTCCCCCCCTTTTTGTCTCGTTTTAAGAATTTAGAGTTGGCCATGAGCAAACTACTCAGAAATGAAATTTGATAGCAAATCAGGAAGAACAAGCCCAAGCCTTCAAGAACGGGATAGCAGTGAATTATGGGGGAAATCAGTCACTGGCAATATTCTAGGCAAAGAGAACAATCGGTGTTCTCACTTCTGTATTGTCTGTGCATATACTGGATTCGTTAAGATAAATTTTGATTTTGCATTATGTTGGTCCCATACATGAAATTTCAATATACTTGAGTACTTCTATTTTTATTGTTATTATTCCTCTGCCTAAACCTCTTTTTTGTTTCAACATAAGATATCCTTAGACCGGTCATAAGTTGTAACAACGGCTATCGATTTACTTGCAGTTTGCCGAATCTTGGGCTGCTAAACAGGGATGGCCTGAACAGCATACAAGTGATGTTTGATTTTTTTTTTTGGATGTGCCTTCTACCATGCTGGACTCTTAATGTTTTTATTTGCACTGCTAAATAGAGAAACAAAAGAAGTCCATTACAGGGTTTTGATGCTCAACCGATTCAAGTGTTATGTATGTAACATTGAGATACCGATCTAGATTGATTTCTTCCGTGAATTGAACTAGTGTGAGGGGCCATATGAGTGAAGTGATTAACGAAGAAATGTCTACCGTACTAGTAAGATGATATTCTGTCATTATATTTCTATCACAGCAATTAGCAGTTTGTGGCATGTATAAGAGATGTTGAAGTGGAGTTTTTTGGACCGCAAATCCAAATGGAGTTCTCTGTTCCTTCATATATGTATAAAGTTGCTAGGAGTACCATGTTATTGTTTTCCAAGTTCATGTTGGGCTGGATTCCGAACAATGTTAGTTATCTTGCAGTAGGCATGACACTCTTTGTCTATGTTCATCATTGTAGTTCATTTCTTTTGTTTGACAGTCATACAAGTTAGCGCATAGTGGTTGGCCTAATTTTGATGTTCTACTTCTCATTTCTTCTGTACATTTATTCTGTATAAAATAGTGGCAGGATGATCTTCAGCAGAACCAATGGAATTGCTATCTATTTCTCTTTTGAAACTCACCCATAGTGAGTGTTGTTGCTCATCTAGGAATATATCTACAGTAGTTCTCTAGTTAGTTGTGGCATTGCACATGAATTATTTGCTAAAGCTATCAACTCTGCATGTTCAATAGTCCATGTTTTAATGCTGTTCGAGAAAAAGGGCCTTGTCCATTCTGTTTTACATAGCTGCAATCCATTTTTGCCCATGGTTTGGATTTGCTTGTGACCATTCTCTTATTTGCCTTATATTGTATCATCATGTGTTTGTAAATTGCATTACTTCTAAACCGACCATGTACTCAAGTTGTTATTGTTTGGACTTACTGGTAATTTCTAGGTTGCTTAGAGCAGAAGGCTGTCTGACAAACCACATATGGTCTCTGCTTTGCTCACTAACTTGCATTTCCTTGCCCATTCAAGTAGCCACATGTCTGTTCTTGGACTTGTTTCTAAATGTCTTACGAATACTGAAATATCCTATGCTCATTTGTGTTGCCTGCAGCCTAGAGCTAAATATCAATTGCATGTCTTCACGCTTCATACCGATGATAAAAAAGAAGGGTTCAATTCTTAGAAGCTAAAACTTGGATGGTAGTCCACAGGTAGTAAAAAAGTCTTTCTAGTTTTGCTATCTGCTACTTGTGCTCCATCATGATATAGCTGTGCTTCACAGCTTCTCATGGTCATCAACTGTTTGCTCCTAACCTCTACCCAGTTGGCTAGTAACCGCCGACGTGTGCTAACTATAGTTACTTCCTCCGTCCGGAATTATCTGTCGCTGAAATGAGTGTATCTACACGTTTACGTCTCCTCTTCTAATTGCTGCCTCTGAGTTGTCATTTAGTGACCGACATGTTCTTCCTCTTCAGTTGTTTTCTTTACCCTTTACACCATACCTCTTCTGTCTTGGTGTTTTCTTCTTGTTAAATTATTATTCCGGACATGCACGCCTATGTTCTGTTACTAATAATACTGACTCCTTTTTTTTGGAATGACTTCCAGATGAAACTGATACCATTCTGATGAGAGTTCTCATTCGCCCCCTTCCGGGAAGACTTGTTTGTATGATGTTCCGTTGGTGGTATGATGCCATGTTTGATTTTGAGAAGGTTCTCTGAAGGAGTGGGGAACATGTTCAAGGTGGTGTCCATTTGTTTCATAAGGTTCTGACAGTACATCCTCAGAAGGGATATGGTTATATTAAAACATACTACTCCGTCTCAAAATGTAAGACGTTTTTTGACACTAAAAAAATGTCTTACATTATGGGACGGAGAGAGTAGTATGTTTCTATAACATCTTGGATTTTTATTGCCAGATTCATTTACAGCTGCAGCCGTCCTATTGCCTGCACTGCATCTAGACGAAACGCGCTCTATGGTTCGCTGGACTCTCAGCATCAACCAATGTCGGTTGGCTGGACAGCTTGTTGGAGCATCCATGCCGCTATGTGCTGCATTTTCCCTGTGGATGACAAAAACTGGGGGTCCGCCTGAGGATGGCAACATGAGAGGAGCCTCTGGCCAACACTGGGAAACAGTTGTCAGGTCAAGCGGGACTGGACCCATTCTAGGCCATTTCTAGCGAGCAAATCGCTCTCGCTCTCTCTTGGCCTTGTGACTCGTGAGTGATCATCTTCGATTGAGGTGGGCATCTTCTCCGTTAGGTGGCAGATAAGGAGGTAAAGTCTGGCCTTGATGCTAATCGGGGAAATGTTTGGCACGATGGCTCCAGGTTTCGGAATGCGTTGCTGGACCTGGAGCTATGCTGGGGACATCATTGCGGGTGCTGGGCGAAAATGACTTGTTCGGAACAGGGGTCCTAATTGGCTAATTGCAACGCGCACTGTTGTGCAGTGCGATTTGTGCTGTCGTACGGTAATCGGCGGACGGTAATGCAGGCTACTAGTACGAACTTTTCGATATTCTAATGGTTGTTTTGCTTCATGACTCGGGAGCAGTTGTCCGTGTGTGGTGGTGATGGTGTCTTTGTACTGCTGCTTTGGTGAGGCTCCATGTTTTCTGAAAGTCCCACCTCACTTTGTTCGCTTGGTTCTCTCTCTTCCCGATGTGCCGACCATCATCTTCCCCGTCTTCGTTCATCCTTGTTCGCCTCCGATCACTGTTGCAGCATTGGACACCTTGGCTATAAAGGATAGATGCCTTTAAGCTGCTGCCGCCAACAGCGTGGCGCGGCCCAACTATGCCGCGGCGATGTGCAAAACTTCTGTTTTTCTCGGCAACATGCACTCCCTCCGTCAAGTAGTATATCATCGATTTGCAAGCTGTTTTAGCTTGCAAAACAATCTTATATTATACTAGGATGGAAGCATTTTTTGTTTTTGTTTTTCGCTAAGTCTTGAAATGCTAATATTTATTTCTTTTATTTATATAATTTGTTTAATGATAAGATTTTTTTATGTTTCTCAAAGTGTTAATGCATTTTGAAACATATTGATGTAATTTTATAAAATGTTCATATAATTTTAAAAGTGTTCACCTTTTTGCAGAAAAGGAATGAAGGAGTACGGCAAGATGACTTCGTTTAATGTTCGTGTACTTGAAGAAAGTGAGCACATTTTATAAAAAATGTTGTAAATTCAAAAACAATTCACCCATTTAAACAATATTTGTGTAACTTTAGAAATTTGTTACGCCTAATGCTTATGTAATTTAAAAGAAGTATTCAGCTATTTTCAAACAATCTTCATGTAAATTCTAAAAGTGTTCTAGCATAAAAATTGTTTGTGTAAGTGTTCTCGCATTTCCTCTAAAAAAAGTATTCTCGCATTTAAAAGATGTTCGTGCAATTTAAAAAATATTCATCTATTTTTTGCAAATATTCACCATTTATAAGAAGTGTTTGGGTATTTAATAAAGATGTTCATGTAATTTTAGAAGTGTTCATAGCTTAAAATTATTTTTCATGTAATTTTGAAAGTGTTTGATATATATTTTTATAAAAAAACATCAAATTAAAATTAAAAAAGCCTGAAATTAAACCAACAAAAAATATAAATGGAGAAAGTAAAAATAAATAAAAGGGAAAAATAAAAAATAAAAGTGTAAAACAAGAGAGTGGAACCCGGAAAGCCACCGAAAATCACATGCAATACGAAAGATAAAAGATCTAATCATGGGCTATAAAAGATAAAAGATAAAGGAACGTGAAGAAAATTATTGTGTTGCCACTCCCATATGGCTTGGCCCACTAACTGCACAGCGTGGGCGATTCATTGCTATGGTCCATTATAAGCGGTGTATAGCAAATGGATGTGGTGACCACTCGGAGAGATCTTGTCACGCATGTGACCCCTACATGCACTAAGGCTCATGAAGAGAAACACAATGAGAAGGCCCTAGTCTCAAACGAGACAACGAAGCTCTAATGGATTGGTGACTCCGTATGCGTGGATACCTGCAGGGGGGTTGTAGCTTCAATCCTCAATCGGAAAATTCTCACGACTGGGAGGTATAACCCAGCTGCGGGAAGCTGCAAGTTTGCAGCAATCTTAATCAACCTCTTCTCTCTAATGCGTTCGTTGGTAAAGATCAGATCAAACATATTTTTATCTTCACCGTGATCCTGGGTTTTATTCATAGGCATGATTTTTTTTGTTATCTACATTTACCAGCACGCGTCCCTTCCAATGGCCATTTCGGCTCGTGTGGGTATGTGCACCAACTATAAAAGTGCCTCTACCTCCAACCATTTGTGGTTGGCTCCTCGAGTTGAATTTCAAACAAGTGTTGTCTTGAGCATCCCTCCTCGCATCATTTCAGTCAAGAAATCCTAAGTGAGGAAAACCACCTTGAAATGACATTTCCCTCCCTAAGTGATTTTGGTCTAGATGACAACGCAATTTGTGGTCTAATCGTGTGCTTGAGCTATATGTATATTCAAAGATGGCACAAGACGGTTAGGTACCCCCCCCCCCAAAGGAACAGATCAAAGACGATGTTGTGGCGCTTTTGTTTCGTTTGAGTCGTAGGAAACCGTACTATTAAGAGAGGGTCCGCTTCGAAAGATATGGATGGAATCAATCACGAACACAAACCAAACTTAACCCCCTTTTCCTCCCCAACATTCGAGGAGTTCTCCATCCTTTTTGGTGCCCCTGAATTTTCCTACCTCGTACTACCGAGATAGGCAACGGTAGTACCGGTCCTTTAGAGGAGCAGTACTGTTGTTGCATGCCTTTAGGCTGGTAGTTCCATACTATTGATCGTTAGTACCTCTCCCCTGTTGGAGTAGAACTACCAAATCAAGTGGTGGACCTACTACCACAGGGGCTCATTTCCCTCTGTTTTGGCCCACGACACTAAGGCGGCACTGTTATGGCAATACCGTTATTTCATAATAGTCGGTACTACCGGTATCCTGTGCGGTAGTATCGCTTGGGCATTTGCAGTGCAACCTGTATGGTACTATGGTAGTATCGTTGTCCGCATTGGTAGTACCTCTCAGTGAAAACCGGGGCAACAGTTGGATTTGGAGGGGGCATATAAAAAGAGGGTCTTCTTCCCCAAGTTGACCTAGCTCTTGTCTCTCTCTCCTCCATTGTTGCCCAAAGCTTAAATCTCCTAGACCTCTCTCCCTAGCCACCCAAACTCCTTGATCATCTAGGATTTGGGAGAGAGGACCTAGATATATCGCCCATGGAAGGAAATTTGACACCCCTTGTTTTTCCTAGTGGATCTTGTTTTTTTTTGGTTTTTAGGCACCCTAGACGGAAGAGGTCTCCTCAAAGCTTAATCATTGTGGTGTAAGCTTCATGGTAGTGTTGGAAGCCTACAATTAAACTGTGCAGATTGCCCAACCTTGTTTGTGAAGGTCTAGTCACCGTCTACAAGGGCACCGCGTAGTGGATCGTGGCACCTTGCATTGTGTGAGGACATGCAGAGAATAAGGTGAGCCATTGTGGCGCTTGCTAAGTATCGTGTCGTCACACCTCTCCAACGGAGACACACCTCCCTCAAAGGAGAAAACTTCGGGAACAACACCATTGTCTCCATTTGTGATTTATTTTTTCCTTCACTTACTTGCTGTAAGCTATCTTTATTGTGTGTCTTATCTAGCTTCTTGTTATTTGTAAGCTTGCCATATAGGTTGTCCACCTAGTTGCATATGTAGATAACCAATATATTCTTACTGTAATCATTAAAATTGGAAAAGAGACTAAAAAATGTTAGTTGTCTATTCACCCCGTCTAGTCGACTATATCGATTCTTCCACACACAAAGTCAAAATGAATTGTGATTGCGTATCACAGAGGAACATGCCATGCCTTGCTTCTAACTTGTTACACTTGAGAACGGCTTCATTGGGGAACTTGTGAGGTTTGTGTCCCCCTCATTTGTCTGGCTGGAGTTAGAATTATCTTTTGTCCCTCCTCGGTGTCGGCTCCTTTGGGACGACGATCTATCCAGTTTGCGACCATTGATGTCTTTTGATCTACATCAACCAGATGGAGGCCCAGAGGTGACAACGAGCTTTACTCACGACGCTTCACGTGCGATGCAGAAATAAGACGATGCTGTTTTTCGCAAGAACTTGTCTGTAATTTTTTATTCTCGCAAGAAAGTTTTTATAAGGACTTATTTTATTTCATATATGGCCTTTGGCCTTTTCGAAGAAGAAAAAAAGACGCCCATGGTCTTACCCATCATACTCATGTATGAATCAAAACCTCCATCGGATCGATCACTAGCATTGTACAAAAATCAGCAGTTTTCTAGTGCATTGGTTGCCCATGGGCCATGATACGTACTCCCTTCTTTCATCTATATAGGGTCTAATGCGTTTTTCAAGACCGCCTTTCACGTATGGTCTGCTAGAGTTGCCACACTGTCTGGTGCACGCGTGCTTCGTGCTGTTGCTTCGCTTTCACGTATGGAAATGTGCTTTCGATCACCGGAGTTCGCAAAGGTAAAAGGTTTGGAGTTCGCAGGTCCATGGCCTGTCATCTCATATGGTGCGATTGTGGCAGAGCACGTCACATGCGACGCCAAATAATAAGATGGCCGTCGCCATCCCATGATCACTGCAGCTTCCGGAATCATTAGTCCGTTTGGAAGGGCATTGGAGTCCTTCACATGTTGCTGCCTCCGCTGTGAACTGGTTTGAAATGGGGGAGTGCGAAATTTACCGATTTCTGCAAAAATCGTGCACTGTAAACATGGGTGAAAACGGGCAAAATGTCCTGTCAGAGGTTTTTCTTCTTTGAGCAGACGCATAGAGTCCCTGTGATGGATGTAATGCTGGCAACTAGGCACAAAAGGGTGAGTTCTCGCCATGTGATCCAGTCATCCTCCAGCTATTATCACCAGGTATTGATTTCTCAACCGCAGACAGGGAGATTTTCCTCCCGACAAGCACACCAAGAAGCCGTGGCAATGCCTTGCCCCTGAAGAGCTGCACTGAAAGCCACTCGCCCCCGGAAGGCCGAAAGTCTTGGTCGACGACGACGAGCACCAGATGCCTCTTGCATTCTATATTCTTGTCTCTGGTGAGCCGCGATACCTGGCCGGACCGCCGGACTACTACGTATTCATGAGCTCCCTGAGGACCCTGTCCCCTTTTTTCTTGCCAGTCGGCACCTTGCTTTCATGCGCAGAGCCCACACGGAGTAAAGAAGAGAGCTGTGGCGCACGTACTGCCACTGCACCAAACACATTATTACCCGGGTGCTTATGGAAAACACGCCAGGAAGCAGAGGAGACGACGACGGGTCAGATGTTGTAGACGTGGAAGACGTGGAAGCAGAACACGGTGTAGACGTGGATCGGACCGGTGGTTGCAGGTCCATGCAAAGCACCTGCAGTTGGTTGACAGTTGCCCACTCTCATTTCAACCCCAGGCAGAGCGCGGATAGAAAAGTAGAAACTGCCCGCCAATGGACATGGACTCCTTTATCGTTCTCCTCTTCCTCTTTCTTGCGCGAGCGGAGGCGGCGAGCCACGGCGTTGGTAGAGAAGGCAAGGCTGGGGGAGCGGTGCTCCTTCCGCTCAGGCTGCAGGAGGTGGCGCCCCCGCCGCGAGCGCCGGCGAACCGGCTGCGGTTCCGCCACAATGTGAGCCTCACGGTGTCGGTGGCTGTCGGCACGCCGCCGCAGAACGTCACGATGGTGCTCGACACCGGCAGCGAGCTCTCCTGGCTGCTCTGCAACGGGAGCTCCGTGTCGCCGCCCGCGCCGTTCAACGCGTCCGCTTCTTTCACATACGGCGCCGTCGATTGCTCGTCGCCGGCGTGCGTGTGGCGCGGACGTGACCTGCCCGTCCGCCCGTTCTGTGACGCGCCGCCGTCCACCGCCTGCCGCGTCTCCATCTCCTACGCAGACGCCTCCTCGGCCGACGGCCTCCTCGTTGCCGACACCTTCGTCCTCGGCGCGCAGGCCGTGCCCGCCCTGTTCGGCTGCATCACCACCTATTCCTCCAGCACGGCCGCCAACAACAACGCCACTGACCCGTCGGAGGCGGCGACCGGCCTACTCGGCATGAACCGTGGCAGCCTCTCCTTCGTGACGCAGACGGCGACCCTCCGCTTCGCCTACTGTATCGCCCCCGGCCAAGGACCCGGCATCCTCCTCCTCGGCGGCGACGGCGGCGCGGCCCCGCCGCTGAACTACACGCCGCTGATAGAGATTTCCCAGCCGCTGCCGTACTTCGACCGGGTGGCCTACTCCGTGCAGCTGGAGGACATCCGCGTGGGGCGCGCCCTGCTCGCCATCCCCAAGTCCGTGCTCACGCCGGACCACACGGGCGCCGGGCAGACCATGGTGGACTCCGGCACGCAGTTCACCTTCCTCCTGGCCGACGCCTACGCGGCGCTCAAGGGCGAGTTCCTGAACCAGACGCGGTCGCTGCTCGCCCCGCTCGGCGAGCCGGGCTTCGTGTTCCAGAGCGCGTTCGACGCGTGCTTCCGCGGCCCGGAGGAGCGAGTGTCGGCGGCAAGCCGGCTTCTCCCCGAGGTGGGCCTGGTGCTCCGCGGCGCGGAGGTGGCCGTGGCCGGGGAGAAGCTCCTGTACAGTGTACCCGGCGAGCGGCGCGGGGAGGAGGGGGAGGAGGCTGTGTGGTGCCTGACGTTCGGGAACTCGGACATGGCCGGCATGTCGGCGTACGTGATCGGGCATCACCACCAGCAGGACGTGTGGGTGGAGTACGACCTTCAGAACGGCCGAGTCGGCTTCGCGCCGGCGCGCTGTGAGCTCGCCACCCAGCGCCTCGGCGCCCAAGTGTAGTTCTTGTCTAGTGGCATTTCGTCGTGTAAAGGTACAGCGAAATACTAGCGGCGGCGGCGGCGGCGGCAGTGGCAGGGCACGTATCGTTAGCAGAGGGCGAGTATTAGAGACGGTCACTCTCCGATCACCTGCTGCTGCCAGCGGTGAACTACTGGTTATTTACGAACTTCATTGCTGTATTATGCGAATACATATACGAGCTAATGACATAGTAAGCGACATTTCAATTTCGATCGGGCAGTAACTCACTCATTGAGAGTCAGCAATAAAAAAAAAAGATAAACAAAAAAAATCAAGTGAGGGTCAAGTTTAAATTGGGTTGTCATATCCCAAAGAACAACGCTAAGGGTCGCCACTGCCAAGTCAACAACGGACAAAGGTCCTGAGCCCTGATAAGGAAAGGAGAACCACGGCGACAGAAGCCCGCGAGCGTCGTCGTCGTTGGCGCCAAAGCACGGAGCTTTTGCTCGGCAGCTCACCCGTGCCACCACAAGGTCTCTAAAACAAACGCGACAAGTTTAGATCCCCATAGCCGGATCAGGGCGACGCCACTACGAACGACAGAGGACGCGCTCGAGCCACCTGTTGCTACACCTCCCGCCGCCTACATGACAAAGAGGAAAAGCCACCACCATCACCATGGCGCCGCCGGAGAGCCAACCACGTAGACCGCCATCCAGGCCCCGCCCTGGCATCCATGTCTGAGACACGACCAACCGTGCACATCACGGTGCACCAACCACGGTAGGAAGAGTAAACTGTGACATCTTCCATTCCTAACTCGGCATCAGCCCCAGAGTTTGGGTCGACACCTCCACGGTAGGAGGCGCTCACGCCTGCATACCCAGCTAGTCCCGCTAGAGAGGCATAGACACGCCACATGACTACCTACGGCCGTTGCTGAGCAAGCTCACACGACGCCATGTCTGTGGCCTTCGACACCGATTTACCTGACAGTGCAGTGGTGTCCCGACCACCACCATCGACCACCACACCCGCAGTAAGAGGGACCTCATCGCGCGTGGGCACCACCCAGACCGAGTCTACCCCTACCTATCCAGAGTAGAAGCTCCAACCTATCTCAGGCCCAAATATGATCCGTCCGAGCACAACCTCCAAGTCCTGGCCACCTCCACGCCGCAAACACTCAGAGGAGCCACCACCAGCCACACCACGCTGTCGTCCGCCAAGCGCCGCCACCCGAACCATAGCTACCGCATCACTGACTGGTGCAGCCACCACCATACGATCGAACCAGATCAAGGCCAGGCGTACAAACTCCTCGCCACGACCCAGTCTCCGCCCGTCGGATCGGTGCTACTTGTGAGCTGCGTTGGGATTTCCTTAAAAAGGAGAGGATGATGCAGTACAGTAGAGATAGGTATTTTTCTCCGTTAAGAACTAAGGTGTGACGCCCCGAGACCGATGCGCCAGGTGTCTTCCAGTTATTCGCTGTCTTTGCCATGTCATTTGCTTGCGTGTTGCATCTTGCCATGTCATCATCCGCATTGCATCTGCATATTTTCGAAACTTGCATCCGTCCCGGTCTCCTCGTTCCTTCCGTTGTCCGTTCTAAGCCCAGTCACACTTGCACGCGCCCGCGGCATGTCCGAAATAATATTTTATAAGTGGCCAAAAATGTTCTCGGAATGGGTTGAAAGTTGACAAGCGGTGTTGTTATAGTGTAGATAGGCCGCCTGCCAAGTTTCATCGCATTCGAAGTCCGTTTGACGCCCCAACGAATAACTATAGCGGCATTATAGCCGGTCTATCGTCGGACGTTTTCGGTCTCCGGAAACAGTCGCCGGGTCTCTCTCTCTTCTCTTCTCTCAGCCCAAAGCTTTTTGCACAGTCTGCTATAAACCGCCAGGCCTCGAAACCCCTCCTTGCACAGTGCTTCGACACCCTCGTGTGCGCGTCCAAAAACTGTCCCGAACCCGACCCGGATAGTCATCACCGTTGGGTCCGGAACATCCCCAAACATTTACAAAATATCATCGTTTTATTTATTGGACTCCTTAGCATATTTATTCTCGTCCGTCGGATTTCGATCCGATGATCCAAATCCCTCTCCTTTCACCTACATGCTATATATAGCCCCTAACCCTAAATTCTAGGGACCTTGTCCCATCCATCCCATCCCCACGTCGCCGCCACTCTCCTTGTTTTCAGCGTCGGACCAACTAGCCGCCCTCCTCGTTTTCCCCCCGATCCAATGCACCAACCAGCGCTCCCCCATGTCCCTCCTCGATCCCGAGCGCAGTCACCTGCAAGGCCACCGCCACCTCACCTCCCTTCTCCTCGCTGATGGCTCCGCCCGCGTCGGAGCACGTGAACATCAGCAGCAACCGAGGCCCCCTGCTCCTGCCTCCTCCTCCCGTCCTCTTCTTCGCATTTCCCTCTCTCTAATCCCTCTCCCTCCCAGGTACTTCGTCACCATGGATGCCCGACGTTGCTTCGTCCTGGAATGGATCCTCGCGCCCGAGCTCTGCATCAACCCCGTGTCATCGAAGTCAAGCCACCGTCGGCCTCCGCTTCGAGCTCCGCCTCCAGAGATCCGTGCCCTGCCTTCCATTCCCGCACCACGACGCCCCTCCTCCGGCTCGACCCCGTTCACCGAGCTCCCTGCCGCGCCGGAGTCCCGCCGCTTCCTTTCCCTGCAATGCCGCCAGGTCTCGTTGCCGGAGTCCCGTGCGTCGTCGCGCCAGTTGACCGAGGCCGCTGCTGCGCCTTCCTTTCGAGGGAGATGAGTGTCGCAACCTGGAGCCTGCATCCCTCCCTCGCGTTGACTGCGGCCTCGATCCGAGCCAGCGTGGACGAGCGCGAGGACCCAGCTTCCCATGCCTCGCCCACGGGCCTCCTACTCGTTCGGCCCAGCTAGATCTGGCCGTTGGGTGAGCAGCCTCCCGGCCTTTTCCACTATTGGGCCAGCCTCTGTTTCGGCCCAACACATGTTTTTTTCCAGAACGTTTTAGCTAATTATTCCAGAGTTTCCAATTTTGCAGAAGAACCCTCCTGTTTCATGCATTTAATAATTCACAAATGGTGCATCTTTTTAAAATAAATTATATATGAAAAATGCTTAGAATTGTGTCTAAATTCATAATCTCCAACTTTCACGCATGTTTAAAATGTTATTTGCATATATTTTGCCTATTTTCATGTTAAAATAATTTAATTCATAACTAAATAACCGTAGCTCGGTTTTAAATAAACTTTATATGTAAATGGGGTAGAAAGATGCCTAGTTTAACGTGGTGCACTCATCTAGCATGTTTAACAACTCTAAAATTATGTTTAGGGCAGAACAGTACCAAATCCATAAATATGCACATGAGGATTTTCCGGACTTGTTGCTTGTTGTTCCGGCCTCATTTAAATTTGCCTAGATAGGTAGTTTTATTATGCTTCACCCTCTTGCCATGTTAATCAACATTTAATATTGTTTTGTACCTAAACAAGAGAGAACTAAAAAAGTCATGTGGTGTTCCGTCAATATGCAACTCGTTGCATATTGAGCTCCACTTAATTTGTAGGATTGCTTGTGCACTTTGCCATGCCATGCTTCATTAAACCGGACATGCATCATACTTGGTTGTGCATCATGCCATGATTATGTGATGGTTTTTTACTTTGTTATTTGCTTCTTTTCGGTGTTGCCTCTCCGGGATAGTTCCGATAACGTCGCGTTTGTGAGGATCCTTCGACTACGTCTGTTTGTCTTTTTCATGGACTTGTTCTTCTTCCTTGCGGAATCTCAGGCAAGATGACCATACCCTCGAAATCACTTCTATCTTTGCTTGCTAGTTGCTCGCTCTATTGCTATGCCGCGATAGCTACCACTTGCTTTATCATGCCTCCCATATTGCCATGTCAAGCCTCTAACCCACCTTTCCTAGCAAACCGTTGTTTGGCTATGTTGCCGCTTTTGCTCAGCCCCTCTTATTGCGTTGTTAGTTGCAGGTGAAGATGAATTTTGTTCCATGTTGGAACATGGTTATTGTTGGGATATCACAATATCTCTTATTTAATTAATGCAACTATATACTTGGTAAAGGGTGGAAGGCTCGGCCTTATGCCTGGTGTTTCGTTCCACTCTTGCCGCCCTAGTTTCCGTCATACCAATGTTATGTTCCTTGATTTTGCGTCCCTTACGCGGTTGGGTGTTATGGGGACCCCTTGACAGTTTGCTTTGAATAAAACTCCTCCAGCAAGGCCCAACCTTGGTTTTACCTTTTGCCTCACCACCACCTACTTTTTCCCTTGGGAGTCGCTCTCCCGAGGGTCATCTTTATTTTAAGCCCCCCGGGCCAGTGCTTGTCTAAGTTTTGGTCCGAACCGAGTAGACTGCGGGGCCACCTCGGGGAAACTTGAGGTTTGGTTTTACTCGTAGGATGTCTCATCCGGTGTTGCCCTGAGAACGAGATATGGGCAGCTCCTATCGGGATGTCGGCGCATCGGGCGGTCTTGCTGGTCTTGTTTTACCATTGTCAAAATGTCTTGTAACCGGGATTCCGAGTTTGATTGGGTCGTCCTGGGAGAAGGAATATCCTTCATTGACCATGAGAGCTTGTGATGGGCTAAGTTGGGACACCCCTGCAGGGTTTTGAACTTTTGAAAGCCGTGCCCGCGGTTATGGGCAGATGGGAATTTGTTAATGTTCGGTTATAGAGAACTTGACACTTAACTTAATTAAAATGCATCAATCGTGTGTGTAGCTGTGACGGTCTCTTTCCGACGGAGTCTGGGAAGTGAACACGGTTCTTGTGTTATGCTTGGACGTAAGTAGTTTCAGGATCACTTCTTGATCACTTCTAGTTCACGACCGTTGCTTTGCTTCTCTTCTCGCTCTTATTTGCGTATGTTAGCCACCATATATGCTAGTGCTTGCTGCAGCTCCATCTCATTACCCCTCTCCTACCCATAAGCTTAAATAGTCTTGATCTCGTGGGTGTGAGATTGCTGAGTCCTCGTGACTCACAGATACTTCCAAACAGTTG